AGCGCAGCCACAAACAGGTTATTCTCTGGTTATCAATAAGGGTCAGAAGAGGAACCGAACGCTATGACAACACCGACCTTGTGGTTGTTCCTGTTCCGTGTGTAGAAAGCAAGGCGCGAGGTCGGCATTGCCATTGTTCTGAGCTATTGACAAGAGAGTATGGATTATGGTGATGAGACCTGGGATGGATATTAATGTTCGAATCCATCTCTCTTCGGCTGTCCCTCTTCGCTCCTTCACTCCTTTCCCCTTCGTCCTTATCTTCTTATTCATTTTCCCTTCGCTCCCCGCATTAGAATTATGATTTGTGATTATCATGTCTTTCTTTGTTTTAGTCACTCGCCTTCCTTTGCCTCATTTTCCCAAGCGTTGCCGACTTCCTTCTCATTTCCCGAATTTTCGGCGCCCTTCCCTTTTTTTTATCCTTAAGTCTTTTTTAATAACTAGTTCATTCTCAAGTCTATCCATATTAACTTAATCATTTATTCTTCATCTCCTTCTTCTCTCCAACCCTCCGTTTACTTTTTTTTATACATATGCATAGATATGCATTTACGCATATGCACCTGTGCCTGTATAGTATATACATACACGGCCGCGTATAAAGGCGGGAGGCAGAGTGCAAACCTCCCTCGGCAAAGGTACGAGCCACGAACCGCCATCTCGACGGGATTCCGTGAGCCAATTCAATTTCAACTTCATCGAGGTTGGATATCTGACATAGCGCAGTGTATGTAAAGTCAGATAAAGCCGAGCCAATTCAATTTCAACTTCATCGAGGTTGGATATCTGACATAGCGCAGTGTATGTAAAGTCAGATAAAGCGCTGCGGAATGGCAGTTGCCTCGATTTTTTTTTTATCCTGTGGAGTGCGGGCGGAATCGGCGGCGAGGTGAGCGGGACTCTCATGACGGCGAGTACAAAGAGCTCGAACTATGGAGTTAGAGGGAAGGACTTTGTCACCAGGACTCGATTAGCGTCCTCTGCCTGTTGCTGAGTGTGCTTGAGGTAACTTTACTTCGCTTGGGGAAAGTATGAGGGGTGGGGGAGACGCTTTAGTTATTAGGGAAAGTTCGCGACGAGGCATAGGCATGCGCGCGTGCATAAATCTTTTCTCACGGTTCTCGACTTTTCTTGACGTATCGATTATCACATTTCGAAAAGAAATCTGTCTACACATTCTTTTCTCTATAAAGTATGGTGCTAAAATCCACTTCGGAGAATTGTGAATATAAGTAAAAAGAGAGAAGAGGGTACAGGGCGGTAAGTAGGCCTGCATAGACCTGCTTGACAGAGATGGACAGTAATCCTGACCAATTTACCCGTCGCGAGGAAAATCCCTTCTCCTCCATCTTCTTCGCCCGCGCGTCGTCGATCTCCCCGGGGCTCGGAATTCGATGCCCCGCCTTACTCCTCCTGTGATTACTTCAGGGTTACATGTTTTCTAGGATCGACTAAGAAAATAACGAGACGTCCTTAAGTAGGGGAAAAAAGCGAAAAGGAAAAAAAGCACTTTGTGCGGATGAGTTTAGATGGTGGAGAGTGGCTTTGTGAATGTTGAGGAGGACGCGTTTTCTTTCCCCATTTCATGAACCGCTTTCTCATTTAATGTTTACGCTTGCTTTTTCCTTGAGGTTAATCTCCTCCTTGAATTCTTATCCCCTCCTCATAACGCTCAGAATTAGCCATTGGGGACGGAGGGAGACGAAACAAAGGAGCCGCTCAGGATAAGGAAAACACCTGCCGCGCAAAGCTGATGTCGTATTGACGTCTGTGCATGGCGTCTGCGAGGTCGGTGGAAAGGGAAGGACACTTTAAGAGATGCGTAGAAATATGCAGCTAATTATGGCGAAGGATTCTGGAAATGTGCGTAAAGTATGTGTGTGTGTGTGTGTGTGTGTGTATATGTGTACGTATATGTGTTTGTATTGCACCGTGGTACGTTTGAGTACCATTAGTGCCGGATTTGAAGAAATGTCCGTATGAATGTTTTCTTCTCCTTGGCCAAGACCCAGCGTTGGTAGTAATGTTTTACCGCCATCTATCACGCTGTCTTTACTGCTTCGCCCCCCACAAGATTATTGCACCAGTTTCACTAGATTTTGTTCGTAAATTCCCTGAAATGTAAAACGAGGATGTATTGTATTTCCCATTATGAGAGAAATGCTTTTTGTTGCGGATGTTGCTTCTCCGCGGGTACGATTTTTCTGCCTAGATTTTCCGCGATGGATAATTCAATCGCCTGGATTTTTCTGCTTGCCTTGCCTCCCTCGGTCGGTTTTGACTTCTCTTGAGCTTGTGTAAAGTTTTCTGCGTGTCATACTCGAGGCTGAAGAATAGGAGTGTAAGGGAGGGAGAGGGAGAGGTGGACGGACGGAGAGAGAGTGGGGGAAGAGAGAGAAAAAGGTGAAGGGGGAGAAGGGGAGGAAAAGGTGAAGGGGGAGAAGGGGGAGGAAGAGGGAGAGAGAAAAGGAGGGTAAGAGAGAGAGAGATGAAGACC